TTTGATCTGATACAAATTTAAAAAAAAAAAAAAGCCTAATGGAATTGTACCATTTTGTCTACTTTAAGCAAGTTCAAGAAGAATGAATACTTGTCTGTTCTCCCCGTGATGTGTAGGAGGTGACCTGGGCTGCATTGTAAATGAATAGAGCTGGTAGGCTTTTGGAGGTATGCTTTCAAACAGTCACAGCTCTCCATAACAGAAAAATACTTTTCTCCTTCTCAGGAAAATCAAAATAATTTTTGCAGACTAAAACCAGCTCAGCAACTTTCCACTAACATGCCATGGAGAATGTTTGCAACATTTTATTTTCATTTTTATTCCTCTTCAATATTTTATGTCTCCAAGCTCACCCCAAACAAGAGAGAAATCTATCCCCAAAGCTTTAACTGGTACTCCTTCCACAGCACAAGAACTTCAGTAAAGCTGATATTTGTCAGTGCAGCAAAAGTCTTGGTTCTTGCAGATCTCTGGGTGCACACACTGGCAGAGACAAGACAAATGAGGTACTGTGGGTTTTATTTGTCTGTCATGGTGTTGCCATGCTGACAACATGCATGCTAAGTGTGCTCTGCAGTGCTCACTACCACATTTTTAGGAAAGGAAAAAGATTGTAAAGTGCTTTGTCCATCACAGAATCAACTTCCTACCTTCTTTAGACCTAAGCAGGTCTAAATTCTGATCTGTGTTTATTTCACTGTGTTGTTGAAGGGGAACTGTGTTCTCTGTTTTTTAGATATGTATACCTAAGAATTTTCATAGGAGAACTGGCAGGTGTACATGAATGCATCAAAATAATTTTCTGTAGTAAGAATTATTAAATGTGGTCCATTTGCATCACTGCTTTTTGTACTGACAGAAAGATTCTTCCCTTAAAGCTTTGGTCAAAGTCAAATGTTTTCATTATTAGCTATGATCACCTGGGTTGTATCATTCCTCTTCCATGCTCTGGTCTTGAGTTTGCCTGCTGAGAACAGCAGTTTCTGTACCATTAAAATTATATATAGCAGAAGCCTTTTGCAATTGAGCTGGTTACTGTGGTCGAGGCCAATCTGTTAATACTGGATGTCAGAGAATATTAAATGACGGTGTTTGTAAATCAAGTAAGGTAATATCACTTCTTTTATAGAAACTCGGTTTGCATTGAAATGTCTTCATTGCTGCCTATCCCTCTTGTGAATTCCTTGAATGAAAAAATAACAGGTGTTTTATTCCTAACCTACAATTACTTTTCAACTCAAGTGTAACATCAGACCCTGTAAGTGTTCAATTTAAGATATTGTCTCTTTCCAGCACGGTCCCCTTACTATCATTACCTCATTTAACATATAGTACTATATTTCCAAGATGGCATTTTTCCCATATAATCACATTAATCACTACAGAATTAATTCAGATAATTATTTAATTATCAATCTGTTTTATAATTAATTTTTCTACCTATACTTCTAGTGTTATTTGTACTGCTGTTTCCTTTATGAAAAGACCTCATAATCCTAGAAGTTGTAAACCCATGTAACAAAATATTCTGATGAAAGTTTAGTCTTGAATAATTGAAAGATACAGGTTGTAGAAGAAATAGAAGGGAAGACAGCAAATTTTACACTATAATCCATAATCTTTGTGAGAAAAGCAACACATACAAAAAAATTCTCAATTCCCTTGGACTAGAAAGGAACTATAAACTTACATCCGGTCACTTTACTTAAGGTCATCCCTTCTCTGTGTTTTGCCTCTCTGACCATATGGATTGCATAGCTTGTATCACTTTCCTGCCACGTGCTTTCCCTAGCCCAGGGAACAAGTGTGTGTCTGTCTGCACGGCAGGAGCTGACCTCCTCCCGCACGGGAGAGCAAGGGTTGATGCTTGTGCACGGACTCTGCTCTCCAACTTCTGATTCCCAGGGCTTGCAAGTGGAGTCTCAATGCTTCCAACATTTAGTTCAGGTATTTTAATATGGGGCTGATGTTTTGGCTTAACACTCAGCCTTTCACTTTGGCATGACTTAGTGAAAAGCTGACAGGCTCAGTAACTGAACCTCTTTCCCATCTGAGTGAAAAAGAAGCACATTTAGAAAAATCCAGTGACAACAGCTTTATAAACTCAGATAGGTTGAAAAAGCACATTTATTCTGCTTCACAGTGTTCCCCAAGGAGCTTTTTAAACATAAAAAAATGAATTAATGAAAATCTAACTGTTTTTAGTCATAAAACAATAGTTGTGTAAAATACTATGCACGCTGTAGAGATCACTAGATCAACATTATATCACCATCTCTATAAGCTTTCTACATCCCCAAGGCAACATTTGTATCCGATTGCATTAATCTTGGTCTCTCTCTGTATTAAGCTACTGAAAAATGGATGCTCCTTCCCTACACTATTCATTGTCCAAATCTCCTCCACTGACACAGGTGTGCTGTGTCAAACAGCAGCAGTGCAGAGGGGGTAGAAGGGGTGAGCACCCTCCTCGGCTGTGTTTAGACTCCAGCCTGTAGTTAACAGGCAAAGGAAATTCTTCAGTTTGAGCACTGAGGGGAGAGAGCCTTGAAAAGCAATTGCTGTAACTAAACTGCTGTCCTAGCAGTGGCACAGGGGAAGATCTGTGCATACGGATTGTCTCAAAAAGCAATAAGAAAGTAAGGATAAAAGCAAATCAAAAGTCTGCCTTGCCCAGGATTTAGCCTTCGACAATCATCAATAAGAAGGTGTGTAGGGAAAGTATAGGAGTGTGTAGTGGTACATCCCCACAATATTCTCCAAGCTTCCAGTGATTACATTTAATAATCATGGAATCACAGATATATCACAGAATACTCTGAGTTGAAAGGGACCCCATAAGGATTGTCGAGTCCAATTGTTAAGTGAATGACCCATATGGAGATCAAACCCATGACCTTGGTGTTATTAGCACCATGCTCTAAAAAACTGAGCTAATCCTTGAGAGAATTTTCTTCAGTAACTTTGTCCAGTTGTTTTCAAACCTATATAATCTTTGACTGCCTACAATCTCATGTGTTGAGGAAATTCATGGCTCAACTATGTGTAATGTGAAACATTATTTCCTTTTATTTGTTTTGGAAGCTCTGTCTTTACTTGATACCTTGTAGTTTCTGCACTAGAACAGCCTTCCAACCATTTTCCCTGGCTCTGTGTCCTTCATGGTGTCTGTTGGAAGGCCATCACTCATTCCTTTTCCAAGTATAAGAATGCTTCTAGGCTATTTGGGTCTCGTGTTGAAGCCACCCTGCACTGCTAATCATCTTTGTTCCTACCTGTGTGTCTTTTCTGAGATAAAAAGATCAAAACACAGAAAAAAGGTCTCAGTAGAACAGTATTGAGCACTGAGATGATGGTTTCATATATCTATTTATTACAAGACAAATACTTTATTCCTTGATGGTAACAGTAACTCAGAACCTATCCTAATAGGTCTAAGGGGTAGAGTTTGCATTTATCTGTGTTGAATTCCACCTACTAGTTACTATGACAAGGTATTCCTGCAATTTCACATCATTTGTAACACCAATTTGAAGCAAACCATCTGCTACATCCTGTGCAAAGAAGGATCCTAGTGTAGAAACATTCCCAAGCTGCTGTAGTGGAAATGTAATTTTGCACTTTTCTTCTTAAAGAAGATATTGTTTGGCCCTTTATGACTAAATAATTAATCTCTTGCACTACAGATTCTCCTTTTAACCTTCCAGAGCTTATGATCTTTGCTATTTTTCTGAATTGGACACAACCTTAGCGCACTGAGATCTTCTTCAATTTGTTGCCTTTCATTGCTTTCTCCTGGTCTTTTAATGATCTTTTTAAAGACATGATATGTATTTGCTCTGTGACTCTGATACACTATTACTGTGGTTTAACCCAGCAGACAACAAAGCACCACACAGCTATTCGTTCACTCCCCACGGTGGGATGCGGGACAGAATTGGAAAAAAAAGTAAAACTCCTAGGTTGAGATAAAAACAGTTTAATAAGACCGAGGGGAAATGGAAAATAATAATAATGATAAAAAATGTACAAAACAAGTTATGCACAGCACAATTGCTCACCGCCAGCTGACTGACACCCAGCCAGTCCCTGAGCAGCAGCAACCACTCCCCAGCCAGCACCCCCAAACTCTATATACTGAGCATGATGCCAGATGGTAGGGAATATCCCTTTGGTTAATTGGGGTCAGCTGTCCTGGCTGTGTCCCCTCTCAACTTCTTGTGCAACCCCAGCCTCCTTGCTGGCAGGGCAGGATGAGAACCTGAAAAGTCCTTGACTCTGTGTAAGCACTGCTTAGCAACAACTAAAACATCAGTGTGTTATCAACATTATTTTCATCCTAAATCCAAAACACAGCACTGTACTAGTTATCAGGAAGAAAAATAACTCTATACCACCCAAACCCATGACAATTATCTCTAAATTATTTGCATGTCATCTACAAAGACTTTACTCTTTAAAAACTTGAAGTTTCCTTTTTTGTGTAACCCTACATGTTTTTACACATTTTTACATGATTGTCTTTTGAATTTAGGCACAATAGTATAGATACTGGGTGGTTTTATTGATTCTACTGGAGTGTTGGATCTGAGCCAGTTTTGGTCCCTGTTATGGAGTGCCTGTTCCATAACAGTATTTGTGAATCAAGTCCAGTGTTGCTCAGGGCAAAGTAAAGAGTTGACCATCCTATCTAAAATTCACTGCCAGCTGACTGACACCCAACCAGTCCCTGAGCAGCAGCAGCCACTTCCAGGAGGAAGTAATTAAGAATAACTAAACGCTTAGCTTTGACATCACATCCCTGCACAACATTAGCCAATACACCCAGTAGTGTTTGCAGTCTCCTGGCACATCCGTGTTTCCTGTTCTTGCGTTATCGTCTCCACCAGCATGTCACAGGCACTGCTGCATTCCAGTGGATCACTGGGTCATATAGGTATCGTATAGGTGACAGACTGTATTACCCTGCAAAGAGATGCAAGCATACAACTGTTCATAAAGGTTGTCTTATTGTAGTGGGTCCCACAGAGTCTGATATTATGTGATAAAACTATAATAATTCATGCAGAAGCCAGACTATCTACAACAGCTAGCGAAGGTAAGGATAGCTGAATGGAATGAAAGAGTATTTAAAGAAATGGTACAGCAAAAACAGGTATAAACATAAATAAGTCATTTGTCTTTCTAATCTTGAAACATTCATGCCCTTGTTCAGAATGAAAAAGTTGCCCAAGACAAGTAGGCTATTGTACTGAAAAATATTGGCTGCCTGATGATTTTGGAAAAAAATATGCCACGCTCACAAATACCTCCCCTGACCTGTTTATTAAAAAGGACAACAAATGACTGAGCAGTAAATATTCAGAGCCTGGGAGATTTTATCAAACATAATGTTTCTGAAAAAAATCGTATGATACAGCTGGCTGTGGGAAGAACTGCAAGTTCAGATCTTTCTCAGGTCAACTGATTTTGTTCATTTTCTAATTCCATGTACAGTTGCTATTTAACATTTTGCCAATCTTCTGGGAAAGTTTGTCAAACAAAGGTTTTGAACGTGACTTGCACAGATTGCTGACTGCCTTTCACAGCCTGGACATTTTATGAAGTCCTTCACGGGTGACCGTGTTTTGTTTTATTTTTAAATGTATTCCATAAAGAAAGAATTCTGAACTAAGCCACTGTGATTGCACTTAATCAACTTGCAAACAACACACAGAAAAGAATTCATTATATTACTATAGTGAATTCCTGCTATTTAAGGATAGTGTCATTATGAATAGAGCTTATTGAAACCAAAACGCCTGAATTTATTTATAGATCCTATGTACAAATGAAAGGAGCAAAGTAGTTTGAAAACAGCCTATACACTTGCTGTATTATGTTGGTTTTCCTGAAAGTTAGCTGCGGTAGGAACAAGTCACTGAGGGTGAGACTTTGTGCTCCGCATTTACTCTATCTGCTGCTGTTGAAGTTTGCAGGAAATCTTCATTTACATCACAGGAAACAGAATTCTGCCAATGCTACGGTCTTCTGAAAATATATTCTTCCGAAAAATGCAGAAGACTGCAGCTGGTGTTTCATCAGCACTAGGAATCAGCGTTTAAAATGTTAAACATTTTGCCCTTGGAACTATAGAAATGTTTTAGAAACCATTATCAGGAGTTCAAGGAGGTTGGTTTTGTACCCAGAAGAAGGACAAGTAAATAACCTCTCAGTAACGTGTTCTCACTGAGCCAGATCCTTAAAGATACTTCTCAAAAAAACCCCAATATATTAACAAAATATGTTATTAAGCTAAGATTCTTTTTATCTGTTTGGGAAGAGTAGCAGCTTACGTAAATTACAAATAGAACTTTTTCAGATGGTATTTAATCTCATGGAAGAAAGTTGAGCCAGTTAGTGGTTTCGAATATTTTATACCACTGTGGTAATTTCTGGTGCCAGCATACCACTTACATGTGTAGTGTTTCTCAGAAAGGAATGCTACAGGAACTGTATATGCTACCAAACACTCATGGCTTACAAATCAAGGTACTGTTGCTCCACTACACTGATGTTAGTCAAGAAGAGTCCCACAGGAGTCAGTTGAGTTACACCAGCAGATGAGAAGAGTTAGATCAAAATTAGGCCTTGTCTCACAATGGGTAGCTCATTAATCCCTTCAAAACAACTAATACCCCACTAATTCCATCTCTTTCATAATCAGGGAGTAATCAGGGCCATTTCCTGGCCCTGGCCTCAGACATATATCATGTTAATTTATTGGAAGAACTGCACAGATTGGTTTCTGACAACTTTTGTTATTATTATTACTGTTATTTATTTATGATAATCAGCACACACACACATGTCACTGTCCCAAAGAGCTTACTAAAAGAGCTTTCTCCCTTGTCCATGGACTTCCAAGGGACATGAATTGAAGCCAAGCAGAGTTGCAAGACATTTTCACTTGAGGGTCATATCCTAGCATGGAATCTATTTCAAGCTGAGCTGACTAGGAATTTGGCTCACTTGCACTTTGGCTCACGATGGTGTTGCCCATCAGGTTCATGATGACAAGTGAACAGGAAATTTCACCACTGCATCATCAGAATGTTTCAGGTTGCTCCAGGTGCAGCACGGAGCCAACCTCTCTGTAGAAACCCTAAGATGTGATACACAATGAAATCACTGTCTCTTGCTCTCCAAACAGCACGCTTGAATAGGCTGTGGTGAAACCTCCCCAGGGACACAACGGAAGCCCGATCACTTCAGTCATTTAGAGCTGGATAGTAGGAAACACTTATGAATGTACTGTAGGGAGCAATTCTTCTTGGCAGGGTCTATGTTAAGTGATGTAAGAGATGGCTTTTCAGCTCTTATTTCTATACCTTTGAGGATATAGTGTTGCTATTTGCCTTTTTAAGCAGAGGCCTGAGATGGACAAGGAATGATACAAAAGAGGAGATAATCAAATAGCTGATTTCCTTGCATTCTCTGTAATCAAGGAATGTTCAAAAGTGAGATGCTGGGCTAGAGGCAAACACTGATAGAGTTACAAGGAGCTGAGAAGTGCTTATCTGTGTCCCTTTAGGTCTGCTTTTCCCATTGCTATCTTAATATTCTCTGTTACACCACCACGCATAGATGCTTTCCTTGAATACTACTGGAAGGTTGCAGATCCATGTCCAAGATTTTTATGTGCTGTGACATCTACAAGAAACTGGCAGATAATCATAGCTTTGTAAGCTAAAAATGGGAATAATGCAATTAAAAAAACTGGAAACAAAATATTTATTACTAATGAGATGGTGTTCAATGACAGATATACAAGTGCTGTAATCATGTTCATGCTAGTTCTTGCTAATCTTCTATCAGTCTCTTTTAAGACATTTTTTTTTTCCTCTTCAACAAGTTTTTCATTAAGTAGATGGAAGTCTGCCAGAATCAGTTTCCATTCATATTACTGTAAATCACGGTTGAAACCTGTCGTATTATTCCTTTTCTCCACATACAACTTAGATGAGCTTTTAGGCTGTTGCCTTAGGGTTCAATACATCTTGATACCTTTTGAAAGATCATTTGAAAAGAGAAAGAACAGTTCTGAGACTTCTTTCTTTCTTTCTTTCTTTCTTTCTTTCTTTCTTCCTTTCTTTCTTTTTTCTTTCTTTTTTCTTTCTTTCTCTCTCTTTCTTTCTTTCTCTTTTTCTTTCTCTCTCTCTTTCTTTCTTTCCTCCTTTCCTTCCTCCTTTCCTTCCTTCTTTCCTTCTTTCCTTCTTTCCTTCCTTCTTTCCTTCCTTCTTTCCTTCTTTCCTTCTTTCCTTCCTTCTTTCCTTCCTTCTTTCCTTCTTTCTTTCCTTCTTTCCTTCTTTCCTTCCTTCCTTCTTTCTTTCCTTCCTTCTTTCCTTCTTTCTTTCCTTCGTTCTTTTCTTCTTTCCTTCCTGAGCTAGCAATGTAATTTGGAACAATTCCCAGCACTCCAGCAATGTTGTGGTAAAAATCTGAAATACCCACAGTTCACAGTTGCTACAATGGCATATCTACTCCTGCCATTTGTTGTTCTCTCACCTTCAAGCCTGTTCACATGTTAAAATCCTCTCATGTCAAGAATCATGCACACCGCTGGGTTTCATAAAGGCGTGAAATACGAGATGCAAGTAATAGCAATGTCCTTTATATAACAGCATTTGCACAGGATTTTCTTGTTGCCTTAGGTGGAGTTCAAGTATTTTCTTTTGTATTCCCACCTTTAGGAAAAAAATTATTTGGTTGACTCAGAATCTGAAGTTAGTGCTGTTCAAGTATCCCAACTATCATTTTAAAGTGTCTCAGTCTTTTGATAGCTGGGCAACCTTTCAACAAAGTTGTGTTATCTTAAAAAAATTCATGAGTATGGTCAGTGGACTGCTAGGCTATTCAGTAAATTATGAAGACAGATGTACTATGGAAATTCCTAAGCAATTACATAATAGATACAGTAGATGACACACAACCCCTAACTGAAACTGGCTTCCAATCCTAATTAGGTTGCAAGTGATTAATTCCAAATTTCCAATTCAACGTGTCATAAACCCACCAAATAATTGCTATAGATGGTAATTTCTACTCTGCAACTGCTGAAGCTGCTGTCACTGAACTTAGAACAATGACGTTCTCTAGCACTCCAACTGGGCTTACAAAGGTGAAGTACCTGCATGTGCAGGTGCTCGGGATTCAGCCTGGCACTAAGTTGTACCATCTATCAGGCAACGTGCTAACAGGGTGCCCCAGAGTATTTTGTTCCTAAGAAATTATTTCTTCCTCTTTCCTTTCTGCTCTCTTCAAATCATCCTACTTAGCCCAGCTTCACTATACACTTCAAAACAGTTGCTACAAATCTTACTTGCAACAGGGCAACAAGACTTTGTGACTGTCAGAGCTGTGGAAAAACAGGATGTAAGATGGTGCTGAAGAGCAAGTCAGTTTCTGCTGAGACAACACTGACTATTTCTGCCTTCACTTCTAGCATCCCCTGGAAGCTGTACTTATCTTGCTCCTCCTCATCTCTTCCTGCAGCTCTGTTGTATCTCTGACCACATGTGGAATAATCAGACCCCTGGCTCAAACCTTCATGCTTAGGGAAGCAGATATCAATTTTGCCTATGGGGCAGGTATGTTCAGAACAGATTCCTGTTACCTAGTCACGAGCTTCAAGTCTTAGCTCAAAAAGTATGATGCATCTCAGTTCTTTCTGCATCTTCCTCAGCTGGTCACACTGTCCCTTATTTCATCATCCTTACGTGAGCCTAATATTGCTTGAGATGGGAGATCACACACTGAGTATATGCATTCCTTTGAATAATTATTTAAAGTGGGCTTCCACCATTATTTTGTGCATATAGTCTGGGGCCAAAAGACGTATCTCATCTTAGTGTTTTGGAGATGCTAGATAAAGAGAAGTTGAAAGAAGCGTGCTGTGTTGAGTGCTGTAATTGCTGACACATTCCTGTGGTATACTTGATCATTAGAACAGCTCACTTAAAACAATATTTTCTTTATAGAAAGGAAGTTGGTAATCGAGTTGTTATGCTTCTCTGCTTTGCATTTTCAGTTTAAAAATCAGCTGGTATTCAGTGTATAGTTATTGGTTACCAGAGCATGCTGATTCAAATTTTCATTACCCAATTGCAAGCTGATTTGTTGAATGCTGCGTAAACACTTGATCGCTGCAGATTTTCATGTACATGCCCTTTGGATTTTAGTCATGAGTGTGGACCATTTGAAAATGTTATAATCTCTGACTACACTATGATTAAAATGGCTGTGACACAGATTTGAATTTGGTCAAGTCTATCCCCAAACCACAGTGACCAAAATGAACTGGTTGTAGAAACCATTCAAGGAAATATATCATGTAAAGTATAAATCTAGATCTGAAGTATATGAGCCTAAATGGAGTCTTGCTCCCACCCATTTTACTGTCTGGGGATGAACTAAACGTATAATATTGATGAATTTTAAGTATTTGTGGCTGGAGTACAAAGTAATATAGGGAAACAGTAGTCCTACACAAGCCCTACTTTTTCCCTCTAAGCTGATAAGCCAAGTTGTTCCCAGTATGGTCTTGTCACTCCCCATCACTCAGGGCCGTTCTGCTGGCCCAGAGATTCTCAGTCTCTGCTGTGAAATGCCCTCATCTCACTGTTGCCCTCACCGCACAACAGTATGTGAGCCCCATCTGAATCCCAGACTCACTGCACAACACCATGTGAGTCCCATCTGAATCCCAGACTCTTGTCCCTGAGCTATTCTTCCTGTTCAGACTACCCTTGCCTATACCATCCTTCCTCAATTTTTCTGGACAATTTGGAAACCAGTAGAACACATTAAAAGGGGTTTATGTGATGGAAATGAAATTAAGAGAAAGAGGAAAAGATCATCTATCTTCTGTGGAACACTGTCTTTCTAGTAGAAAAGTCTCTTCTCAAAAAAGTCTAAAGTTAGTTACCATCTACCATGAAACCTCTGTGAAATAGATTCCGTGCCAAGAACCTACAGAGTATGGACTTCATTGTGTTGAGACTCATTTGATCTCTCTTCAGATAAGATGTCTTGTCCACATTGGCCAGCTCTGCTCCTTTGGAGGGAGGGATATCTGCACCAGAGGAAAGTAATTCAGTGCACTTATCTGAAACATCTGCTTTAACATGGGGTTACCTGTGCCTCTAGAAGTTGTATAGACAATTAACTTAGGCAAGGTGCTAACATTTTATGTCTCGTGTTAGGTCAGCTGAATCCTGCATCAAATTACAGTAGTTCTTGCCGGGTGTGTGGGAGAGGAGAGGGTTGTGTTTCTAAGCAGGAATTTACAAAACTATTTACTATGAGATTATTATTTTTTGATACACACACATTAAAAAGTTAGGAGGTCACCAAGAATGAAGTCCTACTGAGTGAGTTAAACCTATGGTGCTTCACTTAGTAAAAGTCACTGTCTTCTTTACTACAGAAACGGAAAATGTATACCACAAAATGCTGCTGGAAAGTCCCAAAATAATTAATGCAGATGTAAGTTGCCTGGGCATGTCAGTTAAAACTTTAAATTGTACATACTTGATTTAAAAGACAAGTTAAATCTCATAAAACTACTAAGGTCCATTAAAAGAGATGTGTATTCACAAAAAGTCATCTAGCCTGTGGACTAGAACTTTTCTCAGCAGCGACTCCCTGTGCTCCCTGATGTTTGTGAATGAAATACATATCCCTGCCGTGACATATTAAGTTCATGCTATACTCAGATTTTTTTTGTGAGGTCCGTACTCCTTAGATATTTCTTGAGAACACTTTGTAAGCAGTATTCAAAGTCCCAGTCTGAGATCTAATGGGATACAATTTTTCCATGAATTAACACAGGAATAATAGCTAAGTCTGGACTGATCACCTAACTTCCTTTGCAGGTCAACAGAAAGAAAAATTACCAGGGAGAGTCATCGTATCTGGAAAAAGGCACATAAACAACTGGCAAACCCTTTCTACAAAGGATATGAGGGTACCTATTTAGGTGAATAAAATTTTGATTAGTCTAATGTCAAGCAAGGTGAATAAAACACTCCTCAGGTTAGTAGAACATAACACTTGCAAAGCAAACATCTAATCAGGCAGCTGGAAGTTGTGCAGGAGTACCATGTCTGACTCTTTACTTCAAGTTTTAACACGTGAAATTATTTCTAAGGTTTCTAATTAAAAGAGGATTCAAAATTTTGGCTGATATTTGTAGATCTTACCGTACCTGGATAGGCTGGATAAATGGGCTGACTCCAATGGTATGATGTTTAACAAGGCCAAGTGCTGGGTCCTGCACTTTGGCCACAACAACCCCATGCAGCACTACAGGTTGGGCACAGAGTCTGGAGAGTGACAAGGCAGAAGGGGATCTGGGGGTTCTAATCGACGGGAAGCTGAACATGAGCCAGGTGAACATGCCCAAGGTGGCCAAGAAGGCCAATGGCATCCTGGCCTGTATTAGGAACAGTGTGGCCAGCAGGACCAGGGCAGTGATCCTGCCTCTGTACTTGGCACCAGTTAGGCCACACCTTGAGTACTGTGTCCAGTTCTGGGCCCTTCAGTTTAGGAAGGACACTGAGGTGCTGGAGAGTGTCCAATGAAGGCAACAAGGCTGGTGAAGGGACTTGAGCACAGGCCCTATGAGGAGTGGCTGAGGGAGATGGGGCTGTTTAGCCTGGAGAAGAGGAGGCTCAGGGGAGACCTCATCGCTCTCTACAACTACCTGAAAGAAGATTGGAGCGAGGTGGGAGTCAGTCTCTTCTCCCAGGCAACCAGCAGTAGGACAAGAAGGTACAGTCTTAAGCTGTGCCAGGGGAGGTTTAAGTTAGACATTAGAAAGAAATTCTTTACAGAGAGAGTGATCAGACTTTGGAATGGGCTGCCCAGGGAGGTGCTGGAGTCACCGTCCCTGGAGGTATTTAGGAGACTGGACGTGGCACTTAGTGCTATAGTCTAGTTGACAGGGTGATGTTGGGTCATGGGTTGGACTCGATGATCTCAGAGGTCTTTTCCAACCTGGTTGATTCTGTGATATTGCCCTACTTCCATAAACATACGCTCCTGCTTGCCTCACCTTTTGTCGTTTGAGATCTATTTTTAGTCCAATTGTTCTTAGAAATTCTTCACACTGTGGAACATTGCACTGGCAGCTCAGGAAGACTGACAGTGAATGATCTTCAACATGGATTTGTTGAAGATCCAGTTTTCTTTTATACACTGTTATAAAACTATTCGACTGGTTTTCAAGCCAGGCTTCAAAAGAGTGATCCAGTAACAGAACTGCTTAAGATTTGATTGTTAAATGGAGCAATTATTGCATAGTGTGAATGTCTCAAATTCAGCCCCCTAGTGCTTTTTGAGCTTGAAATTCATTGCACCAACAAATGGTCTCACAATTTAATGTAAGCAAAACCTTTTACTAGCATAAATTTTTCTGTAGTCACCATGAGGGAAAGAAAAAGGGAAGTATGGGGTTGATTCTCCCTCTGCTATGTCTCATATTTTGTTTATTCTGTAGTGCATTATTTGTTTTAGCTTGGTAGTTCTTTTTCAAATGTCTTCACAAGACTAGAGTGCTACAATTTTAAGCCTCACAGGGAAATTTTAGCAAGTTATGAATAACCAGGGAATGGGATTTCAATGTAATTCAGGAATGAGAACTAAGCAAAGAAGAATATTCAACCTTTTCATGGAAGGATTGAGTATTCTTTTCAAAGTCATATATCAAAAAGCCACATACAATGGAAACATTCTCTCTCCCTAGAACATAAAAGAAGAGGGAATTGCCTGTTATGTGTTCTGAAATGATCCCTTTTCATTACAACTTCAGAATTTTTTCTCTCTGGGGATCTCTGACTTCAAACCATGAAGAAAGGGAGAAACGACATCATACTATTTCCATTAAAAGCAGCCATGCGTAACCTGTATTTTTTCCTTTACTCTTTTTTCCCCATTTCACAATAATATTTGCATTCCAAAAAACTTAGTCTCTCTTTTTTTGATGCGCTGAGGTTAAGCAAATGAGCTTGCTGCTGACAGTGTTGTTCCTACCACTTGTGTGCTCCTTGTTTTAAGCCAGCAGCAGAGAAACTGCTATGTCTGTGTGAAATTCATTAGAAACCAAAACATTCCATCTTTCTTCATTTGGCCTGATCCTTCTTGTTTATCATAATTAAGTTATAAGAAAATCATCTTACACAATAGGAATACAAAAGTCTCTCAGTCTTGTAAATGAATAAGCTAGAATTGACCTGATTTTTCTAAATGGGTCCATGTACAGTATATTCAGAAAACTCTTCTATATGAACAATCAGAAAAGAAATAAGAAAAAATGATTCAGAAACAATAGAAGAAATCTGGAGAAAAGGGACTAAGTATGATAATGCAAAGATTTCACCTGACTTTTAATACAGTAAAGAAATACAAAATTAACAAAGAGCAGTGTGTATAACGCAAGGAATATAAAAGAAAAAGCAACATGATCTCAGAGAAGAATTTTCCTAAGTTCAATAAGACTGGAGCAAAAAACAAACTTTGGATTTATCAATATCAGAAATATAAAATTACTGTAGGAAAGTTTAGAGAAGAGACAGACAAACAATGTGAGACATAGACTAACAAATGAAAGAGAAAACAGCACATATCATTCACATACTGTTCTTTAGATGTTCAAAGCAGTGTACAGATATTACCAATTAACTCCCATATAATATCTGTTTGAGGCAAACAGATTCCCTTTTTACAAATAAAAAATATAAAATGTCTAGAGATCCTGTAATAGGATGAGGCCACTTGAGTCTCATTCTTATGTTTATCCCCTCAGATGACAGTAGAACAAAAGACCATACAATATAATGCACATTTTCTGTTTTCTACAGTCGAATTCTTTATGAATTTCTGAAATGTGAGCTATCAGAAAAAAAAAAAAAAGAAGACAACGGTATATTAAAAACTTAGAAAACAATTATATTAAGGATCACACATTTTGTAAATAAAAGGTAATGGGAAAACATTCAGGTAGATTTTTCTGGAGGCCTGAAATGGTTTCTTAAAGCATATTTTACCAATCATGCTGTGCTTACTTAAGCCTAGACTCTTCCAGCTCTATGCATCTTGACAAGATGTTGCTAATAGAATCTAAAGTAATTCATGGATTACAGACAAAATTAGCAAGTGTGTTTAACATTTGCATGTTGATGCAAATGTATATTTGATGTAATTTGCTGAAAGCTTCAAATTACTGACCTTTGCAACATATATATGGCAAATGCATTTATGCAGCCACACGGAATTAGCACAACTCCATGAAAGAGACTTGTATATGTAGCTGGAATTGCTAGTGAATATAAGGAAAAATTGTTTTCAGTTCGTTAGAAAAAGTCATCTTCTCAGAGAGTGAAGACTGTAAATCTTGCTATGGGGATTGAAATTAAAAGGCACACTACAGATGTTCATTGTTACTATCAGTATAAAGAAAATGGCACTTACAATACAATATATTTGAATAGGATACAAGATTCCTGTTGTCTCATCCTGTTTGCCAGAATAACAACACAGTATAACAACACAAATTTTGTATTGTCTTTTCCAGATTTTAGAATAACATTGGATACTGAAAACACCTCTAATTCTTCCAAAGACTAAGGCATATTTCTTTCTTTGTCATTGATTCATTATTGCATCTATACTGGTTTTCAAAATGTTTTCAAAAATGTTTGCTAAATAGCTATGGGAAGTGATCTGAATGACCGGTGTGCTCCAAGTGATGTTAGATTTATCCTTTGTTTTATGAAAACTGTGTTCTATATCATTCCCAGCCTTTAAGTGGTTTATGTTCTTTTCCCACTGCAAATCATCTGCAAAATTGATTAATATGCTTTCTTTCAATCATTCCTGAAACTATTGCACACAGAAAACCCCCAGAAGGCACCTTCTCTCAATTAGCAGTGGGATTTTTTTGAAGGCATTTCTCTGCATTCCCATACTGCAGATTATGACATCAAACAATTGAGATTAGGATCAGAGTCTGAACAAGCAGAAAGGACATATGTTCTTAGGGGGAAAGATCTCACACATGGAGATATTTTCAGTAAATGGCAGATTATAAAAGCGCAGCAAAAGCCCAGGCTTTAAACTGGCTTATTTTACATGCTCTTCATTCCTCTGACACTTTTAAAGCAACATTTGGTCCTCATGAACACAGAAACCTGATAGCATGTGACCTAGTCAGCCCTGGTAAAAGTCTGGAGTAGGCATCTCTTACTCATATGGAAGCTTTTGCTAGAACCCCATGAAGAGTGTTGCCAACTTTCACCATGTTTTCCTGAGGAACTGAGGTGACTTACTCTCAATTCAGATCTCAGACAGCTCTAAGATGGCCAAGGGGAGCCCTTTATTTTGGTTTATTTCCTTTCTTTCTGTCTCCAGAGGAAGAACAAAATAGGCATGGGCAGAGAGGCAGATGACAGAAAGCTTTCCTGAGGGAAGGTAATTCTGGCCATCATGCTTCTGTCCATTCAAGTTGTCTTATCTTCTTGCATGAGTAAGGATGGGAGGAGGAGAGACGTTTGGTCATGCCACCTAGCCACAGGTATCTCCTTCCCAGGCCTGGAAAGGAAGCAAGGAGGTGCATAAAGGCTGGATTCCCCCAAATTCTGGCTGCATGGTGAATTTTGATCCTTTGGATGTCTGCTAAGGCACAGAAGTCAGAGATTTGTTGTTGTTCTGGAGTTCCTGCTTTTTGAAGACCCCCATATTTTCTTAGGTATAGAACACTGAGAGAAGAAAAAAGTGATCCCAATTCCTGTCACTACGGGGTTCTTATCTTTTCTGTGCGGTTTTGCATAGTGCCATAGTCAAAGATAGGCCTTAAGGCAGTGGCCAAGGTCCTCATATCCACAGTCAGACACCAATTGTTTACTTTTTAATAAAAAAGTGAACACTATTAGTCATGATTAATAAGTAATGAGATCTAATTTCTAGTCCTATAGATAATTTTCACATTATATGATTTTCAAATTGATGGCAACATAAACGCATGTTTGATGTAGACAAGAGGGTACATTAGTTTGATCGAGTAACACAAATTAGTTAGAATGTTGGCCTCAGTGTTTAGATATCCAAAATATCTATTTAGTCCAGATACCTTGATTTTGGGGGCCCACATGCCTTCTTATTAGCTACTTAAATTAGGCGTAAAATTATTGAAACATAAGCATGATGATATTAGAAATTAGGCCCATATTTTGAGAGCTAGTTATATCAAACAAGGTTTTTTATAAATGAAAAATGTTAAAATTTTGGGACCCCTTTGGTTTTTCCAAAGCAGTACCTCCTGGGAGTTTTCCTCAGCGATGGACCTTTGTCTAATAAAAAAAAATGCTGTCAGGTGCATTTGAGCATTCATTATTTCCATGGTCAATAACACAAGAGCTGCATGGCAAAAGAAGCAGCAAAGCAATTTAACTCACTCATATCATTAGGAAAGAGCTGTTTGTCTAGTCCCGGTACATTAAAATGTACATGCTATTGTTTAAAATCGTAGCTATCCCTGACTGGAACCATCCAGGAAAATGGAGTGAGAAGTGCATTTTAACTTTTTCTTATCACTTGGAGGATTTTCTCCTTTCTATGTAAAATCTAAGCTGTATGCATTTCTAGGTTTTTCTAAAAATTACAGTGCTTTCATTGCCTTCATAAAATGATGGCTTAGTAGTTGACCTGACATTTTACAAGAATTCATAAAATGATATTTTATTAGTTCACCTGACAGTTTTACATAAACTCCAAGCACATTGTGACCTTCCTTGTGAGCTAAACAGTAATTTTTAGAATGTGTCTTCATCAACATAAAACTTAAAAAGTGATCAGATGAAAATGTTTGTCTCTTAATATAAAGCCAGTAAACTGTATGCTTAACCAATTATTTCTCTGTCTACTTGAATTTGAAGGGAACAATTGATCTGATCCAAGTGTTTTTTCATACTTAGAGAAGAAAGCTATCTTAAGACAAAGAAAATACTTTAATTCTGTGGTCTGGTCCTATATTGTCTGGAGATCTGAAAACATCATTTTAACATTTCCCCTGAAAAGGATTTATTCATACAGAAAACCAAAAGGAAAGGAAGTGGGAAGCTCATTGAGCAATGTTTATTTTACGCGAATCTACAGACTCGGGCTAGAGTTGGTTTATTGGGTCAAATGATACTTCATCACACAGAGAAACATCTTTAAGAAATTAGGCACATCCTAGCGGCTTAGTATGAGTATTCCATTTATACTTGACTGAATTAAACAATGCATTTTCTTGAGAGGCAAAAGGAAATTTTCTTTCCCCTACTCTTCTGATGTTTAATTTTAAAGTTTTCCAGGCACATATGGTTGATGTGCTTAGGACTGCTGGAGTAACGAAACCAAGAATAAAATTTAGCGCTATGATTTCAGGAACATTAGGAGATGTAAGAACCCGCTGTTAAGTGGTTGACCCAGAAATCAATCTCTTGAATATAGACACTTACCAATTAAAAAGAATATGATTTAATTGATTACAGCAGCCTTCATTATGCCGTGGATTAGAAGTTGAGATGGTAATATTGTATGAGAAAGTAGAAGGTAGGGTGGTACAAATAAGAGAGTTAAGAGAGCATATAGAAAAACGAAAGACAAATTTTATTGTATGCAATGTATTTTTCCCACCACTTGGAAAAACAGAAATACAATGTTGCTAAGACAGGACTTTCTCCTGGAAGCAAGAAAGGTCAACAGCATTTTTGAGGACAACCCTGAACTAGGCATACTGATGTCTAAGAAGCTTGGGAGTGTTAAAAAAAAAGGAAGATGGAAATAAAGAGCTAATTCCTATGCTTCTACAAGGTAAGGACCCAGTAACAGGAAGAGAAAGAAATAGG